TTTTGTTCTTCGCTGTTATAGGCAAACATTCAACGCCATAAAGCATTGTAGATCTCACCACCATCTTATAAAATTTTCCTTTATATCTAAGCGGTACTTGTCTATTACACAATAGGCGTGATGCATTTTCCTGCACTTCGACCATCCATCTCAAATTCTATTAATAACATCCCCATCACCATCACTTTCAATAATAGACCCGAGATATCTAAAATGTTGCCTCTTTTTAAAGACTTTATCACCCATTGCTACAACCACGCTATTAGATTTACTATTACTAAAATTACATTCATTGTATTCAATTTTAGATCTACCCAAATGAAGAGATTTAAACTCTAAAGTTGATTTTCATAATTCAAGTTTTTCTTGAACTCTTTTTCTAGTCTTATCCACAAGGAGGATATAATCAGCGAAAGCATACACCAAGGTACGTTCTCTAGTAAATGTCCAATAAGAGCACCCATAACTAAAGAAAGAAGATACGGGCTTAAAGCCGATCCTTAATGTAATCCAAATGAAATAAGAAAATACTTAATCAATCATTCTTCTGTTCGAACATAAGTAACAACTCTAGTATACATATCTTTAATGACTTTAGTATGAGTCATATAAACACATTTATTTTCTAGAACTCTCCAAAAAATTACTCTTGAGAACTTATCATAAACTTTTTCTAAATCAACAAAATTCATATGAAGATTTTCCTTACTTTCTCTGTACTTCTCCATCAAAACTCTCAATAAATGTATAGCTTCTATAGTTGACTTGTGCGACATGACTTGCGCGACATAAAACCAAACTGATTTTGAGAAATTTTTGTATGACGTCTTATGCTCAATTACTTTCTCCCATAATTTTAATGTATGACACGTTAACTTAATTACTCTATAATTTGTACACTCTCGTGCTTCCCATTATTGATAAAAATATGAATCGAAATATTCTTTCTCCACTCATGTATTTTTTTTAGTTTTTAAACGTTTAGTAAGCCAAGAAAAGTCCAAATTTTCTAAACATTTTTACACATTTGTTATGATGTTGTCAGATTCTATTGATTTTCCGTCTTCATTTTCTTTAAGGCATCCTCAACTTCTGTTTTATTAATATGATGATTAAAATAAAAGTTTTATAATTATTGACGATATTAAGATCACTAAAGTTAATCTTACTTTCAACATCTTCATTGAAAAGTTTATCAAAATATTTCTGTCATCTATGTTGAATATCTTGATATAAGAAAAATATTTTTTGATCTCCATCCTTAATACATTTTACCTGAACTAAATCTTTACTTTTTTATCTCTTTGTTTGGCTAGTATATGCATATATTTTTTGCCCTCCTCAGTATCTAATTTATTATAAAGATTACTAGAAACAAAATCTTAAGCATCATAAATTATTCTCTTAGATTGTTTACGGGTCACCTTATATTTTTCTTAATTGTTTATACTTTCATATTTAAACCAATTTTTATAGCAAAACTTCTTTTTTTTACATTTTCTTGCATATTATTATTCTACCACCAATTCTTTTTTTTTATAAGAGCTTTTCCTTTTGATTATCCAAGTATATCTATTCCAACTTGCTTAATTATCCTCGTAATTTTATCCCAGCTAGCAATAACTTTTTTATGAACATCTCAAATTTTAAGATTTTAAAGTTTACTCAAAAAATAATTTTATTGATGTCTTATAAGTGCCCCCATTTAATTTTATGATAATATTTTGTTGTATTTTTGATCTTTTAACCATTTATTTTAAAATCCAAAATTAAGAATCGTTGTTGAGTACTTAAATTTTTACTTAAAATGACATTACAATCTTTACAATCTGAATGATATTTTTTTCTCATAAAAATAACCAAATTGTGCTTTATTAGATCTTTTTTTATGAGTGATAATATACTTATTTCTTTTCTTAAATAAAGTATTAGCAATAACAAAATCATAAGCGAAAAAGAAAATCAAATATGACTTTATCTTCTTCATTGGTAACTCCAAAATTGTAGTCATCATGAGTATTTCTAAAATCTTTTCACTCTATCAATATATTTATTTAAATCTCCAATAAAAGTTATTTCTTGAAGAGGAATCCTTTGTATTAATTCTTTTAAGTTATTTGAGAATTTTTTTTGAACATATATTTAAACCTACTAGAAAAGCTTAAATGCTTATAATATTAAGAATCTTAGTATTAACAATAATCTTTAGGGTTATTATTTTATCTCTAATTTTATTAATTTTTACAACATTATCTATCAAATTTTGTATCTATAATCATGCCTACACTATTTCTAGTATAAATTTGATATTGAAGTTAACCCAAATCACATCGAAAACACAAATATTATTTATAAATTCTAAACATATTACAAACAGGATGCATGAAAGCAGGAAATAGACGACAAAAAAACATGACAACATAAACAATAGAATACATCCATGGGGGACAACGAGGACAGAGACTACTGGACGGCGGTTGGTGGCTGAGGAAAGAGGGCTGCGACTGTAGGGAGCTGGCAGGAGGGATGGGCTGGTTTTGAAACAACAAGTTAGCTTGGAGCGACAGTCAAAACAACTGACGGTTGCTGTTTGGCGCTGTTGGACAACAGGAAACAACAAAACGAAGGTGTTGTGTGGTGCGATAGCGATGGTGCAGAGCTAGGACAATGAGGGCAGCGAGGACGAGGGAAGATAAGGTAATGGGAGCGGATGGAACTATAGAAAACAGTAGATCCTTGCTATTCTGGGCGGTGGAAGCTAGGGTGGTAATGGTTACTGCGTCGAACTGCATTTGGAGAGATGCAGGAACATTGCCGGAGGCTAGATTGGCGGTTGCGGTGAAGGCCAGAGAGGTGTGGTTGTTGTGCGAGAAGTAGGATGACACTTGGGAAGATGAAAGGAGAGAAATATTTTGGAGGGGTTGAGCTACAACCGGAGCATCGCTCAGATCCGTTGAGACGATTACCACCTTGGACAAGGGACAGCCAGAGCACTATTTTGACATTGGATACAACTCTCAAGTGGAAAACTACTCGAACAAAAATAAATTCAGATTTCGTAAAACAAGACCTTAACTTGAAGCATTTCCTCTCCTATTTATAAAGTGTCATGACCTATCTTAGGAAACTTTTAAAATAAGAAAACGAATAAAAATTGGATTTCAGATTTCGGGAAAGGTTTTTAAAATAGGAGAGGAAAATAAAATCAAATTTCATATTTTAGGAAAATATTTAAATTAATGAAGGAGAATAAAATTAGGATTTAAGCTTTAGGAAAAATTTAAATTAGGAAAAGGCCTAGGAAGGAAAAAAGGAAGATGAAGAAAGGAAAGAAAGAGAAGGGAGAAAAAATGAAAGGAAAGGGGAGGGAGGAGGGGGCGGTGGGGGCCCCTTTTAAGAAGACCGGTCCCCCATGAGCTCCGCATTAAACTTCTACCAGAATATCAAAATTAAAAATTTTAAGCTATCAATCTCTTTAGTCTTTTGGTTTCTGGAATGCCCTCCGCGTTAAACTTCTACCAGAGTATCAAAATTAAAAATTTTAAGTTATCAATCTCTTTAGTCTTTTGGTTTCTGGAATGCCTAAGATAGTTATCTTCTTGTGAACCATAATATCTACTAAATTCATTAATATACCTCCAAGAGTTATTATATTCCAAGTTAATTTCCTAATATTAGTTTTATGAATTAAATTCTTTACTCACATCTGTCCATTATATGATGACCCTTGCTCATTTAATACTACACTCGGGCGCCGTTGCTATGACCATTGCACATTTTTCACTGTATTCAGGTCATATAATCTGCTATTTTTAGGGGAGGCCCTAGCATTTATACAATGACCTAAACGATTCATGTTAATCTTTAAAGAAAATTCTACATTGGTTGTCGACTGACTAACATTACCCTCCACTTTTCACATCTAGGACATGGACTCGGCAATGACAGTGATAATAATACATAATATTAGTGCTTTTAAAATATATATTCTTCACATTGATATGATCAAAATCTAAAATGCGTTTTAATCACAATAAAATGGTGCCATTAGGTTACAATAACATTCTTTGAATTCAATTTATAAGAAACACAAATTATTACACTTGAAAGTAAGAGTACTCATCTTGATTTGATATTAAAAAATGATCCTTTTAATACCTTTAACTTTTTCTTTCATTTCACTTGATTATATTTCATAATATTCTAATATTAATATGTAGCAATTTATAATTAAGTTGACTATAAATGATTACCAAATAAACAATAATCTGACATCCCATCTTTTCTTATTTAGCACAATCTGACCTCTATCTCCCTTTTATGTTTAATTCGATCGCTTATCCAGATTTAATTACTAATATTTGTTCATGATGTTTATTATAATTTAATATCAATTCATGATATTTAGTATAACTTAACTTTAATTGATGAAGTAAAATAACTTGTATAAATAGAGTACTGAACCTTTACCTTTACTGCCGCCAACTTTCCTCAATCTAAACTAAATTTTCCATGCTTCTGTACTTTCTAATTCTGATTTTTAAATTCAAAAATAATATTAACAAATACCAAATTAAAAACCAACCCTAACCTTATAAAGCATTGGTTCGGTTTGCTCTTAATCTCCCCCACGAGAGCAAACTCACAGCCTTTGCCTCCCTCTTCCCTTTGTACACAAAAGCACCATTCGTGCCCTTCTCTCCTATTCTACTGCTCGAGCTCGAACCCTACGCAGAGCTTCTTCCTGGAAGTGACCGGTACATACAAATCATAATGTAGTGGTTATTTTGAATTTGCATTTAGAAGCTGAAACTCAATTTGTCCTGCTTTCATTCAAAATTTTGAGGTGACTTTTTATAATTTATTCAACAAATGGATTTCCATGTTACTACTCAAGGATTAGTTTTTAGCGTTTTCGCACACATCTCTTATAAAATTTCTTTTTGGTTTTTTATTATTTCTATGTTGTAGTTGCTCAGTATACCATTCAATTGAATCAGGTACCTATATTTATAGTCTCCACAACTGCGGAGCAGACACTGGCATTTACTAATGCTATTCCGGAATGGCTTTGTAAAAAGCGCCAACAAAAGGTTTATACTTTTGCTACTTCTCTCAATTTGCTCTCTGATTTATGGGTAGCTTGTTAAATTTTATGTATGCCTCTTTTGGGCATCATTTTATAGCTATTCTGCGGTCAACCTTTATTTGGTCATGCTGAGCTAATAACAGAGAAAAAGCTTCATGTGTTCCCTTTGCTTTACTCGTCAGATTTACTGTAAGTTTTCTAAGCTTCTAAATTTTACATATGTTGATATAACTGAACGTATTTATGGAAAGTTTTACCTGAATGACCTCTGCTATGCTTATTACTTGAGCCTTATCTTTGTTAATTAAATATTTTGATTACATAAAAATATGCTTTTTTTTTTGTTAAGGTGGATTAAGTGAGATTGATTGTTTGCTTTCCATTAATTAAATATTTTGATTGCATAAAAATATGTTTTTTTTTTTTTTTGGTAAGGTGGATTAAGTGAGATTGATTGTTTGCTTTCCAAGAATTAGATTGTGAATGAGAAATTGCCCTATGTTGTGAAGTTTTGGGAACAAATGTCAATGGGAAACCGTAACTACCTATCTTTTCTACATGCATTTGATTTTGGAAGGATGAGAAAATGTCTTTTTAAAATGTGTTTTGCATTTACTATGTGTTTTATGTTTTAGATTCTTTTTTTGTCAACTACTTTTATGGGTTTATATGTTTCATATATGTTGAAATCCTGGCTGCGCAGCATGAGTAATTATTATGGATATTATAGATTTATAAAAAAAATTAAAATAAATAATTACAATAGGATGATATGATGGGATTTGAAAGGTGAGAAATTATTAATCATTCAAGAAATGTTACTGAGAAAGATAAATTGGAATTTTTAACTGAGCCGACATGACTAATTCTATTAAGAAGATTGTTGGTGAACCTTTAGGAACATCTAGGAAAAAAATTTGGGGGATCTAAATACATAGAACCTAAAACTATCAAATATACATATCTCAACTCAAACTTTATTATTTACATAGGCAAGTAGCATCTCCCGTTAAAATCTCTGAATGCCTACATCTGTCATTCCATCGCCGACTTCACCATCCACGAGTCCAGAAGCTTGTGAGCCATGCCCTCGCCTTCTGTTGCAGATCTCTCACCTAGCAAAAGCATCCGCACAGCCTCGCCTTCTATTGCAGATCTCTCACCTAGCAAAAGCATCCGCACAGCGTGTAACTTATTTGTGACTTGGCCTTGTGCAACCCTCAGCAGCCCTTCTTCATCTGGCTCTGGCTTTCATTTCATCTATTTTCAAGGCTAGGAACCAGTCATTATCCTTTTCCTTAGGCCGTTTTGTTCCATCCCGTTAAAGCTACCTGCATTCCCATTTGCCCTCCACAGATTAGGTAGGCCTAGAGCATCAAACTTTGGCAAAGAGTCGTTCACTTCCGACCCTAGCATTCTAAAGGTTTCCGATCCAGTATCCTCCACCACCTCCACGGAATCCATGGTCTGTTCAAAAGATTGAGAGTTATTGATATTATTTTGCATCTACTGGCAGGCATTTTTCTTATTATAAAGCCTGCAGAGCACCCACTTGTCAAAGAAGGCGTTGACATTGATATCTGGCGGGATCCAACAAGTTGCTTATCGTTATTAACTGAGATGCTATGTATGTAAATAATGAAATTTGGGTGGGAGTTATGTAGACTTGATAGGTTTAAGTGTTATATATGTAAATCCCCCCCAAAACTATATTAATAAGGTAATTGGTGGAGTGAATCGATACAAAATGCAATTGAGGAATAAAAATGTTGTTTTAAAAGTGGAAAAAGATAAATGGTACCCATATTTTCTAATGATTATAGGTAATCTTGAAGCCTTGTAAATTGAATACGGAACATATCAAAAGTTATAACTTTTGATGGTAAAATAGCTTACTAAGAGAAGGAGAAGAAATATCAAATAGTAAGTGGTAAGAGACCCAATGCTTGTGATCAAGTTAGATGCATTAGAAATTGAGAGAATAATATCAAATTAAAAAATAGAAAATCAAGAGGACAATGAATTAAATAATGAGGTATATTATAGATTTACAAAGAAAAAAGTGAAGTAGTTCTGGCTCTAAAAAAGATTCTTAAAGTTAAAATACTAGTCCTTGTACTCTAGATGAGGTTCCTATTAAGATTGGAAGGTTATGAGTGATATTGTTGTGATTTGGTTAGCAATTTTCTTTTATTAACGTTTAAAGACCTCGAAGATGTGTGTAGAAATAATTTCAATGTCAATATTTAGGGACAAAGGAAATGTTTAATACTACAATAATTATAGAAATATTGATGTTATATAGCAATTTTAAATAATTAATTGATTTCATGTCAGAAGATAACTATGTAACCCTTTTTTTTGTGTGTTGGGATAATTAGTGAAAAAATATTTAAGAGTAAAGAATAAATTTTGATGCGATTTTTATTGAACATGAGAAGACATGATCTAGTGCCATAAAATTTTGTTTGGTGAATACTAAAGAAGTATGGTGTGCGATTAAGTTGTGCTAAAATTTTTAATATGTTTTAGATTCTATTACGAGGGCTCCTAGTCTAAGGGGAAATTTGTCTTTTGTAAGCCTAAGGGCTAGTTAGTTATTATTATTATTATTATTATTATTATTTGGGTATAAAGAAGTTGATGAAACTTTAAAGAAAACCAAGGGTGGAAAGTCTGTAGGACCGGGATGATATCTTGATATCTCAATTAAAGTGTGGAAATATTTAGGAGATTTGGGAGTTTCTTGGCTTACTAAACTCTTTAATATTATTTTAAAAACTAAAAAGATGGCTGAGCAGTGGAGAAATAGTATTTTAGTCCCAATTTTAAGAGTAAAGGGGATGCACAAGAGTGTGCAAATTATAGAGGAAGTAGGCTGATGTGTCATACTTTAAAATTATGGGAGAGGGTAATTGAACATAGGTTAATAAGTATTACAAAGATTTCTTATAATCAATTTGGATTTATGCCCGGTAGGTCTACTATGGAAGCTATACATTTTTTTAGAGTTTTGATGGAGATGTTTAGTATAATAAGGAGGATCTACATATGATTTTTATTGATTTAGAAAAAGCTTACGAGAAGGTACCAAGAGATATCCTTTAGAGAGTTATTGAAAAGAAAAGTGTTGGTATGACTTATATTCAAGTCATTAAAGATATGTATACAAGAGTTGTTACTTGTGTTCGAACGAGAGGATTGATCAAATATTTTCCTATTTCTGCTGGTTTACATCAGGGATCTGCTTTAAGCCTATATCGTTTTTCTTTAGTTATGGTTGGTCTTACTGGACACTTACAGGAGGATGTACCTTGGTGTATGCTTTTTGTTGATGATATTCTTCTCGTGGATAAGACGAGAGAAAAAGCTCAGGAAAAAGTTAAATTATGGAGCAATGCGTTGGAGTCTAAAGGCCTTCTTTTGAGTAGAATTAAAACTGAATACATGGAATGTAATTTTAGTAGTAGCAGCTCTAGTGACAGAAATGTAACTATGGGTGATCAAAGTATTAAAAGATGTAAATGCTTTAGATATCACGGGTCTATTATTCAAAGTGATGGTATGTAAATGCTTTAGATATCATGGGTCTATTATTCAAAGTGATGGTGATATTGACGGCGATGTTATTAGTAGAATTCAAGTTGGTTGGTTGAAGTGGAGGAATGCTTCGGGCCTATTGTGTGATAGAAAAGTACCGCTTAGACTGGGTGGCGAAACCTGCAATGCTCTATGGCGCTGAACGTTGGCCTTTAAAAGAGAACCATAAAACTAAGTTAAGTGTTGCCGAGATGAGAATGATTGGGTGGATGAGTGGCTTTACACTTAGAGATAAAAATGCAAAATGATTATATTCTTGATAGGGTTGGTGTAGCTCCAGTTACGGACATAATTAGAGAGAGTTGTCTTAGATGGTTTGGTCACATTAAACGTCGACCATCTGATGATCCGATTGGAAGAGTAGATGTTTTAGATTCGACTTATGTTAAGAAACGCCGAGGTAGACCTAGGAAGACTTGGGAATATTGTATTAAAAATGTTTGTAATTTATTAGAATTAAATGAAAATATGAAACTAAATAGGACGCAATGGAGAAAAAAGGATTCATGTAGCCGACCCCACTTAACGGGATAAAGGTTTTGTTTTTGTTGTTGTTGTTGTTGTATTATTATTTGGGTATAAATTGACTTCTTATGTCTAGGGTTAGAGATATGCATTAGATTGAGTTGTGAGTCTTAGGTTTAGGTTTTGGGAGAGATTTCTTACCTCTCAAATTGTAGGAATTAGTAGAGATCACCTATCTCCTGAATCGTAGATGCTTATCTTTGTATTTTCGTTGAGTTGTTTGAATTATTGAAATAAGAAATCAATTTTTTTCTAATTTTTGTGGAGAATCGTGTTGATTTTTTTGCTCTGAATCATCTGAAATTGGTATCAGAGCTCAAAATTCAGAGCCCAAAATTATGAGAATTAGATCCACAGAAGAGAGGATCGATTGACGGGCGGCTTACCTGACGACGATTTTGGCTTACAGAGCTAGTCGATCAGACGTCTTCGCGTTCAATCATGGGCAAGGAGACGAAGGGATCACTACTTACTAAAACCCGATGCTCCATCTGCTAAGCACAGGGAAGGTTTCGAAGCGATGATCCCGTGAGGTTTAAATCGGCGTACAAAGTCCCGACAGAGTCACAATTGAGTCGCGATCAGAGCTACCTGGGAAGGCAGCGCCGAGATCGCAAAGGGTCAGAACTCACTGGGTAGGAAATGACGGAAAGTGATCGTTACGTGGGAAAGGGTCTCGTCTTTCAGTCGTGCCTTGTGATCGCATCGTTCGACTTCAACGCGAAGGAAAACGATGACCTACACAAATCAAGATTTGCAGGGTGCTGACAATAGGATTGTAGCGTGCCTCGTGCGATGCAATCATTGATTTACGTACCTTGTATGAAATGACGGGACCACGACATACATAGTAACCAAACTCGTCATTTTTTGACAGTTCAAACTCGAAAATTCTAAAATTTTTAGTTGTTTACCTCGAAACACAGTTCCTTGAGATTCCTTTGCTAGATCACATTGTTATAGCACTGGACGTTGTGATTTTGATTATTTGTAAATCTTCGGTGACTTTTCAATGTACTGAAAATGGTCTTTTGTGATCGAAAATTTTTCTTGGATTAATGACAACAAAGGAAGTTGATCTGGAGAACAAATTGGAGGAAGAGATGAAGTTAAATAAAATTTGGGATGGAAGAATGGTTCGCCACCATAGAGGAGAGGCTCTCTTCTATGGAGAATCGACTGGAGGATCGATTCGAGAGTATGGGGGAAATTTAAGAGTTGCTAAAGAAGCTCATTGAGATGTAATCCCCACTGACAACTCAATTTGCATACCCTAACCAAAGGTTGACGGGTGAATCTGTAGCAAGATTGAAAGT